TATACCCGGCCATCGGTATACCCGGCCATCGGTATACCCGGCCATCGGTATACCCCGGCCATCGGTATACCCCGGCCATCGGTATACCCCGGCCATCGGTATACCCCGGCCGTCGGTATACCCCGGCCATCGGTATGCCCCGGTGATTCAGGTCTCTCTCCCTCGCCGGCTGTGCGATGATTGTTTTTACGCCTTCCTACGCCTCGAAGTGAATGGCTCGTCAAGTGAATGGCTCACCGCCAGAAGTGAATTACCCAGTAGCTCAAGACGTCGCGAGCTCAAGGCGTCCGGAAGGCAATGCCATGCGAGGCAACGCAGTCGGAAACAGCGGCCGAGTAAGTCGTTGAGGAACACTATGAACTGCACAAGTAAGGTAGAGTCGCAGGGCGAAGCCTCAGGGCTGTGAAGAAAGGTACGTACAGGGCGATGAAAATGGTACAGGGCTATAAATGAAGAAGATGTAGGGCGACGAAGAAGCAGGGCACTGATGCTCAAGGAAGCCAGCCGGAGGAAGAATTTTCATAGAACAAGTTGTCGAGGATTTCCGTAGGCTGCGGACCAACCCCGCGAAAGCCCCCGGCTGTTGAGAGCACTGTTGGGCTTTTTTTGATATGCAATTTCTCGACCTCTTGTATTACCTTGATGTGGATGTAGTTAACCCTAAATATTACCTTGGCTCCCCCGCGCTTCCTTCCGCGCTTCCTTCCTCGCTTCCTTCCGCGCTTCCTTCCGCGCTTCCTCCGTCGGACACAGGAGGCCGCAGGACAGGTGACGACGATCATGCCGGCGAAATAGTGGTACCGCAGGACATTCCCGGTGTGGGTCCTGGCTACGTGATGGAAGGCTATGCGTCCAGTATAGCACTGCTCGGGACAAACACCGGGGCTGGTGAGGCTGTAAGTCTCGTCACTTTCCGGAACTTACTTCAAGACCTGTGCAATAACGTGGAGCCAGACCTTAACAAAGCGCTACGCGCCTTCATTGATGCCATAGTTGGGTCTCCTTACTCGCCGTACTACCCGGAAAACAACCGACTACTCGGCCCCATTTTCTCTGCTCCGCCAGCACAGCTAGTGGAGATGGCTATGAACAAGCTTAAAACAGCTTCACCGAAGCCCCGCAAAACGTAACCTAACCTCCTCCCCCCCGACGGCGTTTCTCGCCCCCCTCCCTCCGCCCGCGGCGTTACTCGCTTTCCGCTGTTGTATACATTCCCTTGCTTTAGACGGGTTGGGACTGAGAGTGCTTTCCGGTCGGGTTTGTTAAGTTCGTTGGAGGAGTGCCAGGAGGCGGCTCGTCTGCGGGGGGAGAAGAGCCGGCGGTGGGGCCCGGTGGTGCAGCAGCTGCGTTCGTTGGACAAGGAGAAACGTGTGTGGCGAGCGCGGAGGCAAAAGGGGACGCAGAAGGCGCTGGCAGTGCAGGTAGCGCGTTATTGGAAAGCAGCGAGCACATTGGCGGCGAGGCGGGCGCGTCAACGCGCGCGCAATCTAGAAGCGGCGGCGCGTGCGAAAAAACAACGGGCCTGGGTGCGCAGAGCGCAGTTGTACACACAGGCCATTTGGGATCGTCTGGACGAAGCGGAACAGGAAGAAGAGGACGAGGCACTCGAGGACTCCATGAGCGACGATAGTAATGCGACCAAGGAAGCCGACTTGCTTAAACAGGAAGCGGAAGAGGACGTAGAAGAAATCCTCAGACGAATCAAAACGCAGACCGCCCCACGGCCAGACCAACCACCCGTCGAACTGCAAGACAAGGCGTCGGGCGAACGGCCTGTAGACGACGTAAAAAGTGAGGAACCCGACTGGTGCCAAGCAGCAGCAGGAGGTACGGCCCGCCGTAAACGACGAAGGTTGATGCTCGAAGCCATCCGAAACCGGGCACCAAGCTCCGACGAAGAGGAGACGGACCCCGGGGGCGCACGGAACACTGAAAAGCATGTAAAGGTCGGATTAGACGAGAAGGTGAGGTCAGACGAGAAGGCCGATCCGGGTGAGAAGACAGGAGGGGGTGTAAAGCAGGAGGGGGGACCTCTAGCGGAGTTAGTACCTCGAGCGGAGTTAGTACCTCGAGCGGAGTTAGTACCTCGAGCGGAGTTAGTACCTCTAGCGGAACCAGGTATTTCGGATGAGCCAGGTGCTTCCGACGGACAGACCTTGGCCGGAGATCCGGAAGAAGGTGATGAGGTGGAGGGTGGAGACATGAGTGAGGTGTCGTCCATGTTCCGGGCAACATTACGTTCTTATCAATTAGATGGTTTCCGTTGGTTATTGCGATTGCATGGTGGTGGTGTTGCAGGTATCTTAGCAGATGAAATGGGTTTGGGTAAGACGATACAGACGATTGCTTTATTGAGTCATCTGGCTACGGAACAGGGTATATGGGGTCCACATTTGGTGGTGGTGCCGACTAGTGTGGTTGTGAATTGGGAATTAGAATTTCGGAAATTTGCTCCATTTCTGAAGGTTGTAACTTACTTGGGTGGTAAGAAGGATAGAGAAGTGAAACGTCGAGGTTGGGCTAGACCATTTGCTTTCAATGTATGTGTTACATCTTACAATCTGGCGATCAACGATAGTCAGCACCTACGGAGGCTTCGTTGGTATTACTTGGTTCTAGACGAGGCGCAAAATCTTAAAAATAGCAATAGCACACGTTGGCAAACTCTATTGCAATATAATGCCGTTCATCGCCTATTGCTAACTGGTACACCATTACAGAACAACTTGATGGAGTTATGGTCATTGATGTACTTCATCGTACCCGAGGTCTTTGGTAAACATACTGATTGGCAAAATATTTTCTCAGACCCTCTATCAACCGCCATAGAAAAAGGACAATTTGGACACGACTTAAGCAGTGGTGATGGTCAATCCCTTAACTTAGTTCGGCAACTATACAATATCTTACGACCTTTTCTTCTCAGAAGACTTAAAAGGGACGTTGAAAATCAGCTTCCAAAAAAAACCGAGCATGTAATTAGATGCTATCTAAGCAGACAACAAAAGATCCTATACAATGAGCTCATACAAGCAAACACTAACAATGATCCACCTGGAACCAAACGAGTTAACGAATATTTGCAAGCCATGAACCTACTCATCATGCTACGAAAAGTTTGCAATCATCCCTACCTCATCTCAGAAAATACCGCACTTTCCCCTACCGTATGCGAACGACTACGAATTCGATACACCGTACACAACAGTTGGATGCTGAACAATTTTGCTGACGTTTCTCAACCGACATTGGCCCAGTCTCTGGAAGATCCCACTCCTAGTCTCAAGTCGCTACTCTCGTTCACTTATACTCAAACTAACGACTCGCGACACTGTCACAACATGCGCCATGGGTCTCTGCCAACAACTAGCTTTATAGTCGGTAACCTTCCCGGTAACCTTCCCGGTAACCTTCCCGGTAACCTTCCCGGTAACCTTCCCGGTAACCTTCCATCACAAAGCCGGATCGAGACGGGTGCTAGCCAAGTAGCCAAGTGGATGAGGACGCCATCCTCGGAGCGGCCCCCTTCCAATCCTGCGGTCGAGAACTCCACGCTTCTAGACCAATTAAGTACTCCTCAGATCGGAACCGCCCATATCGCGACCCAAATGAACCCCCCCGTTATCTTCCACAACCCCGCTTCTCTTCTAGACCAGAGCGCTTCTCATCTGGAACAGAGCGCTTCTCGTCCAAACAAGTCGTTCTTACCGCGAAGGTTGAAGGGTCCGGAAGAAACTCTATGGTCGTCACCCGATCCGGACACGAGCATGTCCGCCTATCTGAAAGGCAAGGCTCGTTTGCGGCCAGGAGCGGGCGCGGAGGTTGATGAGCTTTTAATGAAGGACCAGTGGCTTCAGCAAAAACGACAAGAACAACACAAAAAACACGAGGAAGTCTTACAAAAACGACGGGCATTAGGTAGTAGGGCATGCCCACCCAGACTTCCTACCCACTTGGGTGTTGATACTATAGATTTCGTTATCAATGAGTTCAATACAAAGGGGCTCAAAACCGGACGAAATAGGATTGAGCTCCACACCATGTCAGAAGACATGTTAGGAGGGAAGCTGTTTAGTAGCTCCAATCAGCTGGATTTCAGTGACGAGATTCGGAAAGTGCTAGAGCCAACATTCGATGACGTCTTTGTCGACTTCCGTCACATTTGTAATTCGCGCTTCCGGACGCATCCTCCTCACAAAGTGAAGCCAGACGGACCTGACGTTCGCGTCCATAAAGGTCCGGAGCCTTATTGCAGACCGGATCCATGTGTAGTTGACCTCATTTCGCGTGTGCACACGCGTGCGCGCAATGAAAATTTGCCCAGTTCAAGCGACTATGGGGTGCCGCTTGGCTCGTTGCGGCATCCTGGTAATTATTGGCAGGACGGCTACGCTGATTGGGTCTCGAGCTCTAGTTTGTTGATCCCGCCGGCGGTGGATGTGTTGTACGACAGCGGTAAGATGCGTGAGTTGCGGGGCGTCTTGGAAGATTGTGGACGTACAGGTGAGAAGTGCATTATCTTTACGCAGATGGTTCGGATGTTAGACTTGTTGGAGCGGGTGCTGAATGTGTTGAATTACAAGTATTTGCGACTGGATGGATCGACGAAGCCAGAGAAGCGTCAAGGCTTGGTTGACCAATTCAACAACGACCCTCGGATTTCGGTCTTCTTAACCTCAACTCGAGCAGGCGGCGTCGGCATCAACTTGACGGGAGCATCTGTGGTTATTTTTTATGACACCGACTGGAACCCTGCGATGGACCGGCAGGCCATGGATCGGTGTCATCGACTGGGCCAGATTCGAGACGTGCGAATATTTCGCTTCATTTGCGAAGCGACCATAGAAGAAAACATTTGGCGGAAGCAATTGGAGAAAAGACTGTTGGACGAAGTGGTAGTCGACCGAGGATCTTTTACTTCCGCTCACTACGAGCAAACATTCAAACCCCACGATACCACCCAACTCATCTTCACCGTGAACAGTACGGATGACCTCTACCTTACGAGAGAACTTCACGATCAGCCCAGGGATCCTCTAGAACTCCGTCCAGAAGAAGACGCCCATGCCGCGCCTGAAGAGGACACGGCTGCCTGGCTAGCGCAGGTGGAGGAAGCAGACGACCAACAAGCACTGCAACAGAACCGCGTTGAACTGGGCGAGACATACCGCAACCAGCTCCTCGAGTTCACTACTGCCCCCGCGGACCCGGGCTCCGTCCCTGACATGAATGCCCCGCCTGACTTCGATTACGTCCGCCCGATGAGAGCTTCCGGGGCTGCAGGTCCCTCTGTTTCGGCGGACCCTCCCGCCCTGCCAGAACGTACCAAAGACAGTCTGCCCGGTCGGGAAAGCGCTGTACAGCTAACGGTTGACAAGGCCGTGGGTGTCCTGCATGTGACGCCTGTCATGGCGGCATGCGTCGAATGGCTAGAGGAGGATCGGCCCTCGGCGTAGACAACTCACCGCTGTGGGGTGGAAGCAAGGGCCGTGAGCTTCAGTTGGCCAGACCGACCGAACTTCAGTGCGCAGCGCGGCAACTCGGAGTGCTTACACAGCGTCTCAGGGCGGTACTGCAGCTCATCAAAAAAAGAGTTATGGAGCCTGACATGTCACATGAGTGTGCGTTCGCTTCATGTACGTCCCACCTGCGAACCCCATATCGATTCGATACAGCTATCACTCGACTGATTTCCTAGACGGCAGACCTGTTCGGGGCTCATGGTGAATTTCCGTCTGGTTGTGGGACCATCGGCAGCGTGGTCTTGTCGGTTGTGTCGTTTCACTAATTGGCAGGCCGAGCGACTATCCCGTGCTGCCCCGGGCAAGGCGGAGGGCCCCCACAGCCCCTTTGCTGCAAGCCATTTTCCTGCTTTGCTAGTGCCCGTTCGTACTCTGTAGTCCAAGGCACCCGCCCTCGCTCGGCCGTTCAACGGTACTGGAGCTTGCTGACACCGCCATCAACGGAAGCTGTCTCTCGTAAAATTCACCACATGGTTTCACATGGTCGAGTGTAGGGTATGATTAGGAGCCGGGATAAGGCTGAGTCAGGCGAACCCACAAGAGAGTGAGCTCCAGCCAAGAAGTTGTTTTACAAGAAGGCCCTTAGGATGAGTGTGCCGCTTGTGATCAGCCAAACGGCACGATGTCGAAATCGTGGATGCTCCAAGGAGTGCAGCTGTACAAGCCGTCGCTAGCGTGTATCACCTGGAGCGCCTCGAGTGTGCCTGAGTTGAGAGGATCGACATCGCATAACACACTATGCGAACCGTTTGTTGTCGCCGAACTATAGCAGTCATGTGGAGCAGTCCCTGCTGTTCAACGGGCCAGACTCCTGCATCCGTGATCCTGCACTTGATGGCAATTACCAGAAGCCATTTGTTTCGGGCAGCCCAGCCAGTCTCGCGACTAGGTATGTCGACGCCTGAACGTAAAGATGACATTGCCCAGCGGCCAGTGGCACCGACGGGTCTGCCGTCACTGTGCTCCCGGCCTCGTTTCCATTAATTAGTTCGCAGATTCGCCCAAGTTAGCGCCTCACATAAAGCGTCAAGTAACACCAGAACACACAAAAAAGAAGACGAACACACGCGTGCTTCCTGTATCGGTAGCACGTACTCAAAGCTCATCGTGAATCGCGGTCTCGTTGTAACACCAACTGGGGCCTTTGGCGACTGCGCCAACATACAGTCCACCGCTCTTTCTAATCACATGGTAGGCTGTGCGACTGTCGGGTCCTGCCCCAGGCAAGGTAGAGGGCTTCCAAGGTATGAATTCCAAGAAGTCTCGTGAGATGGATTTGAGAAACATGTCTCCACAAATTTGCACGTCGATCTCACACCACTTTCCGACACCTACGAACCTCCCACAACCCCTTTGCTGCAACTCATTTTCCTGCTTCACTAGTGCACGTTCGCATTCTGCTGTCCAAGGCACCCATTCCTCACGCGGCCGCTCAGCGAATTGGATGTAATTCGCTCCGCAAAGATAAAGCACACTTCTGATGGTCGCTGCATCGACACTACCTGACACCGCCGCTTCGGCGAGAAAGACTGCAGCTGTTTTCGATGCCACCTCCGGAAGTTTAGTCCAGTCGATTTGTAGATTTTTACACACCCGGAACGGTACCTCCGACAAACTCCTCCATCCTCGCGCCGCTTCCGTTTGTGTGTCCATTGACGGTAGAAGAACTACGTCAGACCACAGGTCGTCGGGGCACAGGTCAGCCCGGCTCTCGGGTGACTCCTGGTGTTGCATTCTTATCACCTCGTCTACAGTTTTGGCAACCATTTTCGTGCGCAAGCTGCCAAACTGTAAATAGAAATTCTCGGCGATGCGCTTCAGATTCGATTTGATGATTCTGTTCACACGTTTGTCATCTAACTGGCCACCACGCTTTTCTTCACATAGAGCTTCACGCATCTGCGTCTGAGCCTTAAACAATAGATGCGTTGCAAAACTTGCAGCCTCGTCATCCGAAGATGAGCCCCGCACGTACTCGACGCGATTGCAGTCATTCACCACGTCGAACTTCTTAAACGAAGTCTCCCCGTTGGGAATCATGAGTTTCACCTGCACTT